TTTGTTGTTTTCTATACAGGTAGGTAGCTCGAACAGCAGCACAACTTTGCATAGAGGGGATGGGGGAGGGAAAGCTTTATTTCCCCCCTAGAAATCACTAAAGCATTGGCTTTAGGACAAAGTGTCTCAGCTACATTATAATTTTGTCGCCGATTGTAGCTGTAGATTGTAGCAATACACACATACTTCCACTTAAAGAAAGGAAACGAAAAATAGAGCAGTTTATTGAATGTTGATTAATTATGCAAAAATCGTAATTGAATATGATTTATGCGCAAATGTTCCTTTTTTCTCTCTAATGAATGGATCTCTGCGCTATTGATTGCCGTTTCATGCAAATGAATGTATATTTTCTGGTAATGAACAGCAAAAGGTGTAATTCTCCTAAACTTTTCTTTTGATGATGCATGGATATCGTTAGGAGAAAATTAATGTTGGTCACTATTGGGACTTAAAGTGAAATTTGTTGTATCGCGCTGTGCGTTTTGCATATTTTGGGTTCTTCTGTTCTGTCAATCATCTTAGTGGACCTCTTAGGAAATACCTGTTTACTTGCATGAGTTCAAAAGGTCATGGTTTGTCATTAATTTTGTGACTGGTGGATTTCAATCCATTTTGTTTGTTTCCTGTTACAAGGTTTGTTGCTTTGTGATCGTTCTGTTTCGGGGAATAATCAACTAGTTAAGTTTGCTTTGCAGATTTTTATGATCTTTCTCATTCTTGTCACTTGCAAGAATAAAGCAATTTCAGCCTCCTTCCTTTGACAAAAAATCCACTTACTATTGCAATTTCCTTCGCTATTCTTGAGCAGTCGGAGTCATTCTCAGCCAAGCTGGGTAAGCACGTTACATTGTGATTTGCATTAACCCCGCTTTCACTAAAATGATTGATGGAACAGAAAAACCCAAAGTCCGTTCTAAGTGCAGTGCAATACAACAAAATACACTGTAAAGGATTAACAAAGTGTGTATGTCTATATCTATGTCTTCAGGTAAATTGCAAAACGTTTTTCGTTCTTATTCTGAATGGCATCTGTCTATTTGCTCTTAATATTAGGGTAAAAACTTTGAGGGAAAACTATAGCTGCAACTATAAACACCAACTAAAAAGACTCTAAAAAATAAGCTAAAACTAATTAAATGAAATAATTATCAAGCTTATTTATGCGACAATTTTTGAAATAAATTTAAAGTAGAAATGAGAAAATTTGACTGTAATTCCTTTAGAATAACAGTTAACACTAATTTTGAAAAGAAATTAACCAGCTTTGTATTGAAATCCGCCTGGGAAAATCCAGCTATGAAAGTCAAAGATGCAACTGAAATTCGCCGACACACAGCTGGCGCTGAAGCTGTTGTTTTTGTACCGTTCTCTGAACGACTGTTATGAATGAACACTGAAGAAGGTATTTAGGTATTTTTATTTATTTGCCACACAATTACATTACTTAAAGATGCCAAAAGAAAAAAAAAAATGTAGGAAGAGATGGCGAGGAGGCCTAAAAGAAACTATAGAGCTTATGTTAATTAGGCCTCCTCAATTACAATTTTTCGAAGATGGCGTAAAAATTACGGCGACGGGTACAGTATAATATCAGGTGAAAAATTAAACTAATCAATATTACGGAAGTTTACATGTACAAATGTTGAATATTAAAAGGCTTTTTCCCAAGATTTTTGTTGAAGTATACTAATAATTATTACAAATAAATGCCTTAAGTGTTCTTTTAAAGGAGAAAGGTGAGGAAGCGTTGATGATGTTGGTGTTTAAGGTGTTGTAAAATTTAGGTCCTTGATAAAAAACGGAAAATTGCTTGGTTCGAGTACGACAGAAAGGCAGACGAAATTTACACGAGTTTCTTGTATTATACGAATGAATTTGACTTTGTAAGGTAAATTTACAATGAAATTTTAACGGTAGAGTATGGTTTTGATAGGAGTACATGAATAAGCCTAGTTGTATTAAGTATATATCATGAAATTTTAAGATACCAAGATTTTGAAAGATTAATACACAGAGAAGTTAGTTTTTGAAAATTTATTTGAAAACCCAGATGTTTCTGTACTCAAATGAAATTCGCTTATTCCAGCATAATGTGCCCGTTTAAACTCTTGCTAAAATTTTTAGTCGATGCGATGAAAACTTCACAACAAAGCTGTCTTGAATTTGAGCGTGTTTCCTAAAATATTTGCTTGAATTTAGCATCAGCTGACCAAAAAGTCAATAACACAATGCTAATTGATAAATTTACATTTCAAACAGACTTTCTCTTTTATAAAAAACACACAAAATGCACCTTAAATCTTCGCTCACTCGATTTTCCTTCAGCCGATTCTAGCTGCGAGGAAACAGTGATTAATTCATCCAGCGCAAATTTGTCGCTTGATCTTTTGTCTTTTTCCTTCAAAACAGCAGCTTAGTATTTTCTTCAACTTCCACTTTTCATCTGTGCATTTCATCGGTGTATTTTACCGTCAGGAGAGAAGATTTGTTGAATTTGCCCAAATTTTACCGCGCTAGCTCAGTTTCTTGGTGTGCACCCACGGGCTAATGGTAGTGGCTAACTGACCAATCAGAGCGCACGATTTACTTTTGTTATGTTATAACTCATCTTTAATAACTGCCTTGAAGATGTTCAAAAACTGAGATGTTTTTGCAAGCCTTTCAAAATTTTCCACAAAACATACAGCAAAAAATAGGGAGGCGTAGATAACGCTGAATGAATGATGAAATAAACCTCTAAGTGTACCATTCGTGTTTGTAGCAAGATAGAAAACACTACAAACTTGCAAAATTGAAAATAAAATACTTTTTGTCATGTGTAATTCGAAATCTCTTACTTTTCCATGCATCACAACTTTGTATCATTTTACTACATGCAATAGTGACCTAACATTTCTAATGCTGGGAAAAAGGTCTTGATTTTATTATTGATGGTTTTTGTAAGACTGTTAAATTCATTTGACTCCATTTTGAGACAAAAAAATTCAACTACACTGTAGTTGAAGCACACTTTGTGTGCTCGTTTGTGTACCTTTTATTGGTGGAAATATTTTTTTCCTATGGCTGATGACCAAAATTTAATGTTTTCTGTTTTTGTCTCAAAAGTGCAGAATGAGCGGGGAATTTTGTTGTTCATTTAACGGAAGTCATCCTGAGAATCATGATTTTTATGCCCCCATTCGGGCTCCTTGATTAAAATTTTGGTCGCCCATAGGTAAATTGTAGGAGCCTGTGGTGACCAGGCCCCCATTAGGCAGTAGACTTGACACTGCCTAGTGTAAAGCATGTAAATACATACCTTGACAAGTATAGAAACAATTTTGATTGTTCAAAAGTTAGACTTCATACAAAAATACTGAGTCAATTTTCCAAACTTTAAGATAAAAAACCTTTCGGTGGCCCTTTTTATTAAATTTGCATATGCACTTGTACATGCAAGCGCTCTTGACTGTACCGTCTGCTGTTTTTGCGTGTCTCAAAATCCTTTCAAAATCCTTTCAAGTGGTGAATATAAAAAATGCTTGTTTCTCAAAACTCAAGTCTCGATTTTTGTGTTTTGAAATTCAATTTGTTGGAGTTTGAAGTATTCTTCTGTGTTCATCTCATCACGCAATGCTCATTAGTGTTGTGTAATGAGACAAATTTGTCTGCGTTTCAAGGAGAGAGAATCAAGTTTCGAGGAAGTGGTCAAGATTGTCAACTTTGGATGCAGACACTATCAATATGGTCATTCTGGTGAACTAATTAAAACTAGGTTTAGGTACACTCACTGTAGGGGTCCATTCTTGAAATACAATAAAGCAAATAATATCTCTAGTACAGGAAAAAAGAGATTGGCCCTTGAATGTTAGTTGATCCTTTACAACTTTATGCTACTACTTGTGCACTTGAGTTTGATAAATAATAAATTTGAAGGTCATCGATCAACAGATTAGTGCACTGTTTGTCGTGAGCTAGAAGTGTGACACGATTTAATAAAGTTACTGTCTTTTTTAATGGGCCCCTATAAATGTAGCTTCTTATTTGAGGAGCCTGAAGGGCTCCCAAAAATATTCTCTTAGCCAGCAGCCTTGCTCTAAGGTCAATGTAAATGTTCACTCGCACTTCCTAACCATTGGTTACTGCTAGTTATAGCAGTTCTAAATTTGATTCTGGCTTGAGATAAATGCATTTCAAACTGGCAATGATCTTCCAATTTCATGTGCTTGAGTGTTTCCATTTAGCATTCCAGTGTTATTATGAAGAATCAATTATTGATACCATTTTCTGGCTGCTGTTTGGTTGTTTGTTTGTTTGTTTGTTCCTGGTCCAAAACAGGAAGTAGGGAACCGTTACTTCAGTCTGTTCCTTTCTCTTCTTTTTTGTGTTTATTATTGCATTTCACAGTACATTAAATAACCCTGCCCCCTCTCAAGTAATCCTCCCTCTCTGTTGAGTTACCCCATTAAACATGCTTCAAATGAAAAGGCCTATTAATAGAGGATTTGTGGTAATACAGGTTCCACTATATTGTCTGCATGAATGCTGTATGATGAACCTTAATTACCATTATTTCAAAAAGTGTGTTATTTTACAAACCACAGGGAACTCTTAGATCCAATTACAAAGTCAACAAATAATGAGCTGACCCATGTTGATGGATTCTCTAGTTTGAAGGGTTCATGTAAAATTTTAGGTATGTAATCAGCTGGTTTATGTGTGGAACCACTTTTTCATGAACAGGTGTCTTAAAAGTTTGCTAATTTTCCACATGTCCCTGACAACACCACCTTTAACCTACTCACTTCAGGCCTCTCACCAGGCCGCAAAGGTTATGCTGGCAGCAACAAAACAAATATTGCATATTTATCTAATTATGGTTCTTCATCTTTCCAAAGGTATCCTAACTGTAAAACCTTTAAATCAGAGCAACCTCAATGTCCTTTGAGTGTCAGCAGTGTGGCAAGTGTTTTAACAATGCAGGACACTTTAGGACTCATGAAAGAGTTCACACTGGGGAAAAGCCGTATGAATGTAAACGGTGTGGCAAGTGTTTTAATGTATCAGGAAACCTAAGGAGACATGAAAGAGTTCACACTGGGAAAAATCCTCACGAATGTAAGCAGTGTGGCAAGTGTTTTAATGTATCAGGAAACCTAAAGCGTCATGAAAGAGTCCACACTGGGGAAAAGCCATATGAATGTAAACAGTGTGGCAAGTGTTTTAGTCAGGTAGGACACCTAAAGCATCATGAAAGAGTTCACACTGGGGAAAATCCTTACGAATGTGAGCAGTGTGGCAAGTGTTTTAATGTAGCAGGAAATCTAAGGACTCATGAAAGAGTTCACACTAGGGAAAAGCCTTATGAATGTAAACAGTGTGGCAAGTGTTTTAGTCAGGTAGGACACCTAAAGCGTCATGAAAGAGTTCACACTGGGGAAAAGCCTTATGAATGTAAACAGTGTGGCAAGTGTTTTAGTGAAGCAGGAAACCTAAGGACTCATGAAAGAGTTCACACTGGGGAAAAGCCTTATGAATGTAAACAGTGTGGCAAGTGTTGTAGCCAAGCAGTAAACCTGAGGAGTCATGAAAGATTCCACATTCAGGAAAGGTCACGTAAATTTTCCCAGAAAATCAAATGTCTGTCCAAACATTTGGAATCCTGTAAACGGAAGAGAGCAGAAAGTGAAAACGTTGATGTCACGACAACAGGCTTTACAGAGAACCAGCAGACACAGAGAGAAACCGGAAACACTGGTGTAACAAATGCACGATCGGTCATCGATGAGAAACACAGCTGTTGGATTTGTCAAGAGGAGATGAGTAGTGAGACTCTTCTTCTTCAACATTATGAAAATCATATGACCCAAGTTTGTGACGATTATTCTTGAAGTTAAAAAAACGTTTTGGTCCTTTTAAGTTCTTCTCTTTTGTTTGTGTTTTTGGTGCTTTAAGAACCTTTTTGTATTTTTGCAACTCTTAAAGTTTCAATTGGTTTTGTTTAAAGCATGTTGCTTTCATACTTGTGGTTCATTCGATGTGTATGATTATCAAGTTGGAATAAGCTGTGAAACAAAAACTTCCATAAAGGTAAAACTCGATTTAAATCAAAGTCTTAGTGCCTCTTAGTTTAGTCTGCTACAGAGCCGTTTTCCGTGTCCTCACGCAACGTTCCTCCCCACAAAAAAGTGAGGAGGAGCACTGCGTGACGACACGAAAAACGGCTCTGTGATAGACTACTCTTAATTTTAAGCTTTACATTTGTACGTGAGCACTTATACAAGACTATCATTTCTCATGATATGAATGGTAAGAGACTTTTTTCTTGCAATTTGAAAAATGCTTTCTTACTTTCATGCGTATTCTACAGTCTTGTATTTATGATGTTCTCATAGCCGTGGTTTCTGGAACTCTCCAGTTATTATAATAACTGTTATCCCTAATAAAGAATCCTAATCACTTATTCTGCTTCAATCTACCCACAAAATGGCAAACCTTAACCAGAATGAAATATTTGCTGTGCTCTGTTCCAAAAGGCAATACAAACAACATGATGGAAAAAAATGGCTATGTGACATTTTTCACATAGCTGGGTTATTAAACTCTGAAAATCCAATACAAATACAAACTCAAACTTTCATTAAACATGTATTGCCGGTGGTGGTGAGGGCAATCAACCACCTGAAAAATAAAAACCACAGAACATGGAAGAGGCAGGAATGGGGAGGAGGAGGGGTGATAAAACATTTTTGTGTGTCAACGAGATCAAGAATGCGACATCCATTATACGACGATCAATAAATACGACATTACCTAAAGACGCCATCTTGAATTCAAACTTCAAATCAGTACCCTCGATTCCATGTTCTTAGCGTCTTTCCACATTACTGTACTCATAAACTACGTAAGGCTTAACTTTATTTAAAGACAGATAATGCATTTATGCCTCAATCTACCCACAAAATGGCAAACCTTAATCAGAATGAACATGTGCTGTGCTCTGGTCGAAAGGGCAATACAAACAACATGATGGAGAAAAATGGCTATGTGAAATTTTGCACATAGTCGGTTTATTAAACTCTGAAAATCCAATACAAATACAAACTCAAACTTTCATTAAACATGTATTGCCGGCGAAGGTGAGGGCAATCAACTGCCAAAGACCTTGCAAAGCAAGGGCACTCCCCACCAAAACACAAATTTCATTCTCGGTAAAGGTGTTACATGGTACTTAATATTACAAAATTGCATCCTGTATAATCTGTTCAGATCAAATAAATAGTGCGGTTCCGAAGTTGTGCCTCCCCTGCTAGCAACAATATCACAACCTCTGACACATTCAATTACGAAACAGATTCTAGAGAGGTTATTCTAATATACTTTTTGAAAGCATCAGATTTCCATCTACACAAATGCCTATCCTTGGCGTCCGAAATGCCTTGTTCAGCCGCATAAGTAACAGCACCAATCCTAAAGCTGTGTCCTTTATATCTATTGGGATCCAAGTTGCATAGCCGAATAACCGAGCCAAGCATTTTACTAAACTCGCTTCTCAAAACTGGGGACCCATCGTGATAAATAAAAGGTGGCCATGTACTATGCCACGAACAGAAACATAATCCAAGAATGATTGAACAGGACATGCTTTCGGTTGTCTATTCAAAACTATAGAAAAAGGATTTTGATTGTAATTATGTTTATAGCTTGTGAATGTAATTTTGAATCCAAGGGAACTGTTCGCAGTAGAAAGTTACCCATTGATAGAGGTATAGAGGAATATTTCGGTATGTTTGTCTCCTTCAAATGTAGTGTTGACGCATTGACGGCAACCAAAATATTGCTAGACTAGTATACACGAGTTTCTCATGATTTACTTTGATACAGTGAGTACAATAGAGGCAATGTATGGAAGGTCGCTTGTCTCTATTTTGTTTACCCACGTGAAAGTTACGTAACGGTAGAAATCCACGCTTACTACAGACCAGTTTATGCTGAAGAACTTAATTTTTATGCGCTTCGCTTTTTAACCTACGCCCCGTTGTTATGGAGAAAAGTTGTCCTGGGTATAACTGGATACCCTCTCAGCCAAGTTCTTAGGGCCTGTTTACATAGAGATGGGAGCCCCAAATAGGTGAGGTAACATGTGGCGGGTCAACCCACTTATGTGCCTCGTTCCTTGGCGTCTCAATTGTGGAAAACGGAAAACAGGACTGCAAGAGCCATCAAGGAGTATCGCGCAATGGACCATTGGAACCTTTCGAGTGGATCACGTGATCAAATTAAAATCAGAGATTATATGGACAGGTGACCTGGGGTCCCCAAACCTCCATGTCAAGACGCTCTTAAGGTCGCGATGGACATCTTGGGCTTATTGTTATGCATTTATTTAAAGAGTATAAATGAAGTACAACGACTGATATCGACAGGTTTACGAGATATTCATAACCGGATAAAAGATGAGCGCATAATTTACAGTGTTCACGTGCACGTGTGGCACGCAGACTGCGAACAAAATGTTCATTCAAAAGTAACAAAAAGGCTCTGAATCAACTTCGTTTCAGTGATTTTAAAGAAAATGGACATAAAAATAAGAAAATCTTTAGACATTTCAGCCAAATTTACTACCAAATCTCTAAATACGTTTTTTTTAGCCTCAAAAATCCTTGAAAGCATTGCAGCTTGTGAACAAATTTAAAGCGTGGAATGAGTGGGTCAACACTTGACTTTTTCGACAATTTTGTGTCCAAGAATTCCACGCAGATAGTCCAGATACGAAAACTTCACGAGCTGGCATTGCAGAGGGGTAAACTTGGTAGGCTGTAGTGTGCTATATATTGAGCGGAATTCAAAAAGAGCGCCGGCTTTTAAAAAAGATATATATAAGGCGTTAATTTCAGGTATGACAGACTTTGCTCATTTAAACGATTGTATCTTGCAGGCAAACTTTAAATTTAAAACTGCTCAAATACATGACACATTAGAGGTTTTGATAGATCGTTTATTAATAAAATTACAGAGTGCTGTCTTCTATTCTTTCCGCAACCCTGTACACAAATCACGATTTCCCAATTTGGTGCAACTAATATAAAACAACCCTCTTAAACTTCCCTCATACCACAATGTCTGTAAAATTTTTTCTAAGTCGCCTCTAAAACAGCCAAGATATAGGCGTTTTAAAAGATGAAGCAGAAGCAAAATTTTACCTTACGAATTTATTCATAGACAGGTGTTTCCCCACAAAAAGACAACGTTACAACCTCGTCCCTAGAGCGCTTTTCCCACCCCACCTCCAAGGCCAGGGAAAAGCGCCCTAGGGACGAGGTTGACAACGTTAGTCTCGACTTTATAAAGTCATAAAATTCATTTTTGAACCCTATTGGGCCCTTTTACAGACCCAAATGACAGATTTCCCTACCCTTTTTTATACTTCAACTAGTGAAACCCCTACCCTTTCAAATACCTGAAGCCTGAGAAAGATACCCCTTTCTGGCGGAGCCTTCCTGTATAGGCCATCATGGGAAGTACCCCCCTTCCCGCATCCGAAGGTATGGGCATCAATGTCGTTCGCCCCCCTGTGTGAGGTGTATATTCCTCGTAAAACTAGTTACTGCCGCCTGTGATCGTTTCGTAGTCATAAAAAGAGTTGTTCGACAGCCTTACTTGAGCTTTGATACAAGGCAGCTTTAATAAAATCCTAACACCCCAATTTTTTGAATTGGAAGCAACGCACAGAACAGTTAAAGTCTTTGTAGATGCATTGCAGTGCTGTAGGTAGCTGGAGTTGCAACCATTATGTCGACAAGCAAGGTTTGGAGCAATTTCTATAGTGATTGACTGTCTCGAACTCGGTCTCTCTCCAGTAAAAGCCTTCCAGTTAGAACATGTTTTTGTAAACAACCACCGCCCGGGCGGTAACCAAGAGAGAGGGGTAACTTATGTGCTGCAGTGATATCAATATATATATATATTTTTTTGGGGGGGGGGGGGGGGGGGGGAAGCTTCTGCCCCTCAAATACCCTAGATAGAAACCTGATAAGGTATACATGTGTACAGTATGGCAGAAATATTCGTACAGGTTTATTTCCAGCAAATCCTATCCCACCCCTCCCCAGGCCCTCTCCAACTCATCACGCTTCTTAATTAGTGTCTGCTTCCTAAGCTCTTTTCCGTCAAAGGCCGGATTTATACGTTAATGAGAGGAAAAAAGAATAAATCAAAGTCAGTTACAATGTACTGAAAGTGTAGCTATCGAGTACCTTAGAAGACCTTAGAAATCTCTACACAAACAAACAAACAAACAAAAAGTTCCACCGTTCGTGACTTCGCCCTTCGACCCTCTCTCCTCCGGAGATGCCTCTTTTTTGTGTTGTGTGGCTAAAAGTCCCGGGGGAGTACTCGATATATCCTTGGGTGGGGAGGTGCGGGCCGGCCCCTCATACCCTGACCCTGTTTAAGACAAAAACCGCTGATTTTCCTACCCTGTTTAAGACAGAACTCCGATTTTTAATAACCCTGTTTAAGACATTGAACTCGAAACCATACCCTGTGTAAGACAATAATAAATATCGAAACTCTTTCTTATTTAATCCATCGGCAATCACAAAACTATTTACAGCTTGATCAACAGAGTCACGCAGGCTGTTTATCGTCCAAGAAAAGCTAAGATACCCTGTTTAAGCAGGAGCCCATCAAATGATGGGCTCCTGGTTTAAGACAAAAATTGATAAAATCGATACCCTGTTTAAGACAAAAATCCCGAAAAACATACCCTGGCTGGCCGTACGTCCCCTCCCCCTCTCGGGATAAAAGTATCTGGTTTGGGTTGAACAGGGAGGCTAGCGATGGGGAGAAAGAAAAGAGCGGGAAAGTTTCCCTCTTCCCATCGTTCCCCGCGCGCTTTCTACATGTGAAATCATTGATGGCGGCGGCGAATGTGTGAGGCTTTCAGATTGACCATTTCTAGGTTGTATTTGCCCTCGTGTGATTTGATCAAGGGAACAAGACCTTGTTACTTAAGGTAAGACAAGCTTTCAGTACATTATGGATACATTCAGTTGTGAAATTTACCGTCATTTAACCCAAACAAGCAACAAGCGATTACATGTAAGCGTCGGCGATAGCGAGAAGGAAACTAATTGTTGCTACATTGCAGAATACCCGGCCCACGGCATAATTACAGAATACAGGGCCAATTTTCCAGGTACATAATACATAATCGGTGGGGTGGCTCAGCGTCTCGGAAGTCACTAGTGAACTTACACAAAGGGACAGCAGAGTGAAGAAGACGGCAAACCTTGTATGACAAGCGTGACAATAACTCTGTCTGAAAACAGTTTCCGCCAAACTTCACCTTCCTTTAAAAAGATCTTTTTGTACAGAATCAAAACACAATTATATTAATTGAACATCACAACATTAAAAACACATAGCTAATAGGCCCATCACGTTTGTCACACACAGGCGTTTTGCCGTCATATTCTTTGTGCTGTCCTGTTGCGTAAGCTCATTACTAATAAGCCACCGAGACACCAAGTTACTCAACCATAATACAGTCAAACCTGTATATAATGGCCCTAGTGAAAATAGCCTGGATATTACAGTCACCGGACAACTTCCCAAAATTTTCACTTACCTTATATTTTCTGCAAAGTTGACCTGTATGTAGCAGTCACCCTGTATATAACGGTTAGCGTTAGATAACATCGGGTGAAGCCGGATTGGACACCTTATGAATTTTACACAATGCATTATTTCCATAATGGAACGAGACTGGAATGTAGAATGAGGCTAGAATAGCTGAAGAAACCAAAGCTACAGAGCGCCAGTTATGGAGAGAACACAGTAGAGAGTTAAGTACTGATCTGCAGTGATTAGGGTTAAGCACTGAACTGAAAATGGTTAACTTTCAAATATTGTAATGGGGTACGACATATATAAGAACATGTATATTTTAAAAGTTACTGGATTTGGCAGTTCGTCCTCGTTGGTGTAGTGGATGTGGATGTAGGCTATAAAGCAAGTGACCCGGGTTCAATGCATCACAGTAGAGTTTTTCTATTTCACTTTTATATTACACAGTAAAGTTGGACTTAAGTTGTTCTTCATGTAATTTTACTGAAAGAAACAATCTGACTTCAGCCGATATTACCTAATGCTAACCGTATTTAACGGTTACCTTGCCATTTCCCAAGGGTTACCGTTGTACACAGTCAGGGCTCAAAGTTTAAATTTCAGTTTGGGAGCACTTGTGCTACTAGATATATATTTTTAGGCGCACAGCTGAAAATTTTAGGAGCACAGCTGATAATGTTAGGAGCATCTATTTCAAAAGAAAAAGTAAAAAACTTAACAGTTCCACGTTTATTTGTCATCTTCAGTTTGTTACTTTTACTTCAGTCCTGTGATTGATAAAACACAGCCGATTTGCTACGCAGTAATACCGTTATGATTTTTTAAAATCAATCAATCAATCAACTTTATTTAAACACGGTAAATGGCTCAGCAAGCTGGTTTTCAGACATGCCGTGTGGTAATTACAATTTATAAAAATTAAGACTAGTGATTAACTAACAATACAATATAACAACAAGAAATAAGTATTAGAAATAAGATAAAAACATGATAAAAGTTATATCCTAAGATATGGCGAGTTTAAAGCTAGTAAGATCCCCCATCTCACGTGTTTCATTTGACAGTTGGTTCCAAGCCATTGCACCCCGATAAGAAAATGAGCGCTTGAGAAAATTTGTTTTAGGTAGTTTTTAATACTAATTTCTCTTTTTGACAGTGCAGTTGTGACTAAAGAAAACTTACACTTGAAAAACAATTCAAAACTGACAACAATGAGTGTGTCGAACGAAAATGAAAAATAATCTTTAATGAATTTGTTAAATGCGCAATGACTTACATGTAACTGGAATACGACTTAAGAAACTTTCTTACCTGGAAAAAAAGGCTCTTAATCCGCACTGTTTTTGTTTTGATTGACGTTAAAACTGAACGTTCGCTGTGATCGTCCATTGCGCAAAAAGTACCTGTTTCGTTCGTAGCATATACAGACGACTCGCGATAACGCGAACCTTGAAGGGAAATCAAAAAAAGTTCGAGCTATCGGGAGTTCGAGTTATCGGGCGCTCGAAGAAAATAGCAGAGAGTAAGGTAAAAAACAGTCTTTACTGCACAGTGAACATTTTAATGATATTTAATTGTAGAAATGTCAAGTGAAATGAAAAGATACTTCTAGATTATAAATTAGAACGTAACGTAACAAACCATAGCCTAAATAGAGCATGCGTTTTACTGTTTTAAGAAGTAAAGCTGCTTCACGTTAGCCTGTGACAATCAATATCAGCCTCCACTAGTAAACTATACTCCTACAACACATCAATAGGAAGTCCAAAATTCAATGTTTTGGGTCGCCAGTAGAGGGCTTTTTTCCCGACTTTTTAAGGGCTCAAAACATGGTTCGAGTTATCATAATCAAGGATAATTTATATAGAAAATGACCTGAGGGGAAACAAAAATTGGTTCGAGTTAGCGGGAGTTCGAGTCATTGAGGGTTTGAGTTACGGAAGGTAAAATTATAGTGAACGTATGGCGGAAATCCAGGGGAAATCGATTTTGGTACGAGTTAGTGCGAGGTTCGAGCTAGCGACGGTTCACGTTAACGGGAGTCGACTGTATTTGCATGTGTCAGCGGTGTTTATTACAAAACAGAAGAGTCTGGGAAGGAGTAAAACATCGAAATGAAAAAGAACATTCGAGGTCGTAGAATCCATTGGGAGAAAAGACCAATTAAATATACACCGTCTTTTTAGTTCGAGTTCCTAAGTATAGTCGGAAGTAAGTCAGTCGCACTGTGCTTTGGGTTTTACGGCGCACAGGTGCGATTACACATAAATTTTTAGGCGCACAACCAAAAATCCAGTCGCATATGCGACCAGTTAGTCGCTAACTTTGAGCCCTGCACAGGTTTGACTGTAAAGCCTTTCTCATGCAACTCTAACCTCGACTGACGACCCACCAAGATACTGAACCATTAAAATATATACCTTAAACACTTGTTCTTTAAAACGTATCGTTATATGTCTTTTTCATTCTATAACTAGTGACCCACCAAGCCATTTTGGTGAAAGACAACTGTAAGTATTAGTCACGTTAACCGTTTTAGCCCCAATATCCACTTACAAATTCTCCAAACTGATCTCCATATATTTCCTTAAAGAATGAGTTGAGAGAGTTTCATAAAAGATCAAAGCATTCTCTCTCAGGTGATCATTTTATGACACCTTTTGCTGTTCAATAAGAGAAAATACACATTTATTTGCGTGAAACGGCGACCAATAGCACAAAGATACATTCATTAGCACGAAACAATGAACATTTACCTAAAGCAGATTCATCATAAAAATCTTAATGAGCATTGCTTGCACTTCAATGTTTATCTATTGTCCCTATTGACTTTCAAGATGGTGTTAATGACTTGCATTTTGGCGTTAAGGAAGTATAATTATAATTTTCTCTTTTGTATGCCGAATGACGCATATGAATGCCCAAAAATGTTATTGAAATATGTTGATTAATTATGCAAAAATCACAATTGAATCTGATTTATATGCAAATGTTCCTTTTTTTCGCTCTAATGAATGGATCTCTGCACTATTGGTAGCCGTTTCACGCAAATGAATGCATATTTTCTCGTAATGAACAGCAAAAGGTGTAATTCTCATAACCTTTTCTTTCGATGATGTATGGATATCGTTAGGACAAAATTGATGTTGGGCACTACTGGGACTTATAGCAAAATTCCTTGTAGCCCAAAGGGCTCCCAAAAAATTCTCTTAGGCAGCAACCTTGCTCTAAGGAAAATGCAGATGTTCACTGGCACTTCCTGACTATTGGTTACTGCTAGATATAGCAGTTCTAAATTTGATTTGGGTTGAGATACGTGCTTTTCAAACTGGCAAAACCTGCAGTGGTTCCATCGCTGACCGTGTCCCTTAAACTAATCTACATAAGGACCAAAATCAGTTTTTAAAAAATTTATCATTATTTATTCTTTTAAAGTGTGACTTGAAATCATATTTATTATTGCGTTCTCGTACCTCGAACCGGAACGCAACCCCTAATTTGTGTTGGGTGTTCTGGGCATTATTGGGTGTCCTGTGCAATTAATAAGGGAGGTTTTTTTGAGATTGCATTTTCGTCGTCGACACACATTTGCCTCACTTTGACGTGCTAACTCATGTGGTGATTCTTGTGTCCTCGGCGTTCATCTTTCAGAGGTTTGCTGAGGTCTGATATTGTGTCTTCGTAAAGTATTCATCTTTTAAAAAGTTTGCTAAATCTTCGTAAAGCGTACATCAATCTGTGTTTGCTGAATCATCCAAAGCGTTCATCTTTCAGAAGTTTGCTGTTAAATTTTACTTTACATTAAGCCTTCATATTTTTCAGCATGGTTCATCACTGTCTTTGGAAAATTTTTTAACAACAACAACAAGTTTATTTCAAATTAAATATAGCTTACAAAGCTTGTGCCCGCAATTAGTGAAGGCTATTTGAGGCGGGTACAAGAGAAAAAGGAAAATTGTATAAATATATATATATATGTTAAACGAACAATCCTAGAAGCAATCTAGTTTGTTTTGTGGTTTATGACCAGAGTGAGACAGGAAGGCGGACTGTACTTCATACGGAAGAACACCATGTTACGATTTTGAGAATTGCCCTGTAATATCAGAAACTCTAATATAGTCATCCTCTTTTTCCAGTATTTCTCTTTAGTTTGCTTTTGAATTGATTTTTTTAAGTGTTTTCATAGAAAGTGGAATACTGTTCCAAATTAAAGCAACGGAAATAGAGAAGGCTTGCTTCATATTTTCAGTTCTAATTTGTTCAACATATTAATTTTCATTAGTAACAGATCTAGTCCGGTAACTGTGGACAGAAGACAGTTTCGTGAACATATTCTTAAAGTTATCAGAAACGAGATTATTATGGATGTCGTACATTAAAAGGCTCATTTGCTCAAATAGCAAGAACGATATCGGCAACTGTTTTGTTTCTAAGAACAACGGAACTGCATGAGTTCTTGGTTCAGCGAAGAACATTAGCCTAAGGGCTCTCTTCTGGAGAACCAGTAGTTTATGAAGATGCGTTTCAGCAGCATGACCCCACGCACAGATACCATAACTGATATAAGGCAAAATTAAAGAGCGGTATAAAGTGAGAAGTACATGACGGGGAACAAAATGTCTGAGCTTGGCGATAATTCCGATTGTTTTACTGACTTTTTGACAAACGTAATCTATGTGAAATTTCCATGAAAGGTTCGAATTAATGAGTATACCAGGATATCTAATATAATTTTTCATTTCTAACGGTAGACTGGTATTTGAATTATTATTAATTATTTTGATATTAGGATGAAAAGGAATAGTCTTTTGGCGTGGACGAAAGATGATATAGTTAGTTTTTTCGATATTCAAGGTTAATTTATTGACAACTAGCCACGAGCATACTTTGAAAAGTTCTTCGTTTATCTCGGTTTCAAGTTTTTTAAGATCTCCGTTTGCATAAGTTAAACTGGTATCATCGACGAAGAAGTAAAATTGAAGCTTATTTGAGGATTTATGTAGATCATTAATATACAAGACAAAAAGTAAGGGTCCCAGAACGGAACCTTGTGGTACCCCACAAAGGGTTCGATGAGAATCAGAAATATGACCATTTACAGTCGTATACTGTCTACGACCAATTAAGTACGACTTAAACCAATCATTCACCACTCCTCTGAAGCCATAATTTTTGAGTTTTGAGAGAAGAATATCATAATTAACCGTGTCGAAAGCCTTTTTCAAGTCAAGGCCTGTACGAATGTCATTTAGGATTTCTAGAGTTGCGTGCTGTGTACTATGCCTACTGCGGAATCCATATTGTGATGAATATAATATATTATGTTTATTAACAAACTTAACAAGTCTTTTATAAACCAGCTTTTCAAATATTCTGTTGAAAATTGATAACAAAGAAATTGGTCAATAGTTTCCAGGCTTAGATTCATCTCCTGATTTAAAAACTGGAACTACTTTGGCGGTTTTATGTTTAGCTGGGGAAAGAGCCTGAGGATACTGAAACATTAAAGATTTGAGCTAAGGGCTGAGAGATAATATGGCTGGACAATTTCAAAATACTGACTGGGCATGAATAGAGTCCATAGGCTTTGTTATCTGGCAGCACTTTGATTTCATCTTCGACTTCTGGAGGGACAAAATGGTCAAAGTAGAAAGAACTTTGTATTGGCGGATCTAAAAAAGTACTACAATCATGATCTGGCGACGAGGAAGGGATACAAGAAGCCAACTTATGTCCAACAGTTGCAAAAAACGTGTTAAGAGAATTACTTATTTCCTTTGGGTTGTATATCGTTTCCGAATTGGAGTTAACAAGGCGGTGTATTGGCTTTTTATCACTTTTTGCCTTTCTTGAGATGATATCATTTATACCTCTCCACGTTTCTTTAGAGTTGTTAATGTTTTCTTCAAAATAACGTTCATAATAATTTTTCTTGCTTTGACGCGTTAGGCTAGTTATTTTGTTTCGGTATAATTTATGATATTCCCAATCAGCATTAAAATGGTTATTTTTTATTCGTATTGAAGTTCTAATACCATGGTTTTGACAATATTTTTCCACTGCGCTTGGAGAGAGTTTTCATTGGGGCATGCTTGTTTACCAAGCAGTTTATTTTCTTGTAGAAAGTTGTGAACGACTTGTTTGCGTCATTGTCTGAAGAATTACTCAAATTCTGTTTCTTGCAGTTCAGAGAGAAACCTGTTAGCATTGAAACTGGAGTAGTCACAGATTTTTTTCCTTTGTTTTGAGTAGTTCAGTGGATTAGGATGAGTTGCCACAGTACAGATCTGGGTGAAGTGGTCCGTGGTGTCGTTTACAATGTTGCCATATATGAGGCTGTTTTCTAAATTGTTTGAAAAAATATTATCGATTAATGTAGCCGAGTTTCCATGACCTCTTGTGGGCTTATCGACAGTTGGTAATAGTGAATAGCTTTGAGTTAATTCTAGCAGTTCTTTAGAGTAAGAGCAAGATTCAAATTTAAGAAGGTCAATGTTAAAGTCTCCCATTAAATAAATGTTTCTATTTCTCGAGGAATATAATTCTATTGACGAGGAAAGATAATTAAGGAAATCATCAGCCTTGTCATGCTGTCTATAAACCACACCACAAATATTCTTTTTCTTATTTGCGTCTACAATCTCGATCCAAAGAGCTTGGTAGGAAGAGTTTGAAGTACGTTCGAGAACGTTATATTGCAGTTGACTGCTAGTAAACATTCCCACACCGCCTGCGGAAAGAGGCGTTGTTACATACTCAAAATAGTAGTTTGGTAAGCTCGGAAGATTTTCATTACGAGCGTCATCACGGATTCGAATTTCAGTTAGTCCTATAACACTAAAGCTTACTTTTAATTCAGAAAGTACATGCGGATGGAACTGATCGAAATTTCTCTTAAGGCTTCTTATATTACTGTGAAGAATAGAGATAAAATTCCTATGATTTTGATTTATTTTACTTTTAATAATCTCAGCAAAGCTGTGAGGTGAGAAATATCGGGATCGCAATCTTGGTTCTAAAAAGTCGAAATCCGGGTCGATGTTTGCATTAAATGAATTCATGTTAAAGATATCGTAATCATAAAGACTATGCAGCATCTCCAGGGTTTTCTTTGAATGTAGATCGTCACCTAAAAGGTTGTTAAATCTGCCATGAATAGACGGAATATGTTTGCAATTATAATAAGGGAAATGTGTTAAGCTTTCCTTTAAAAAAATGTCTGCGACTCCTGGTGCATGCATCAAACTGGGTTTAGTTCGGCGGCCGTTGTGCCACAAAGTAAATCTACCGAGATGTGAAGCTCAGCGGTGCCATGTGATCATGACTTGTGATATTTTCGGCACCGGATAAACGAACACCTTAACTCTATGTTATTTATTAGGAAAAACTTCTAAACCAGCCCACAGTAGTGCCACTCTCGAGTCACTGAAATCAACACGCTCGACCGAATTACTGGAAAAGTTATTGACGTGAGCCGCACACACATTCCATTGAAGGCTTTGACAGGGTTAGTGCGAAGTTTGAATTCAGAAGCTTTTAAAACAGTAAATTCAATGTAATTCATTTTGTCAACAAGTTGATCATTGGATGCTTATGATTATCCGAAGAAATGTTTTAGAAGAAAGATAAAGAATCCTAGGTCAAGCACCAATGCTCCTTTGAGCAAAATGTTCTATTTACACGCCTGAAGCACTCTGGCCAATATCTCCTCCGATTACAAGCACTTGACACCGAACCATACAGTATCTTTTCAAAACCCTTCTTACAATGATACACAGTTTAAACAGAGGTTTCGCTGTACGCAACCCTTACGTTCAAAATATGCATAATCATATTTATCTATATTGCAACCACCCTTCCCCCTCAACTGCTACCTGTATGCCTAACAAACATATCGAACGCACTCTCCTAAGCTCCGATTACTCCTAATATATGCACCCCTCTTTCTTGGAAAAATGGCCTCCTACAGAATAACAACAAGGGTGGCCACTGGACTCTTACCAAGAGTAAGAGAATAAGCCAATTCCTAGAATAAACCCTGTTACTCTTTAGACCAAATAAATAAGTGATAGATGCTATAACCCTTTAAGCTTCAAGATCAACATGGAAATTCTCCACAGTGGCCTCCATAAAATTCTTGAAAAATTGGTTGAGAGAATTTGTTTAAAGATCAAAGCATATTTCCTTGAAGTGATCATTTTATTAATTCTCATAACCTTTCTACTTGATTATATACTGATGTTGTTTGGGGAAAATTGATGTTGATCACTCCTGGGACTTAAAGGGATAAATAAATGACGACTGTAACACTTCATGTGGACTGATCTTGTATGGAAGTTGCGATTTCATTTTTCATCTTCCAATTTCATGCGCTTGAGTGTTTTCATTTTGCATTCCAGTGTTATTATGAAGAATCAATTACTGATACCATTTTCTGGCTGCTGTTTGGTTGTTTGTTTGTTTGTTTGTTCCTGGTCCAAAACAGGAAGTAGGGAGCCATTACTTCAGTCTGTTCCTTCCTCTTCCTTGTTTGTGTTTATTGTTGCATTTCACAGTAAATTAAATAACCCTGCCGCCTCTCAAATAATCCTCCCTCTCTGTTAAGCTCCCCCCATCAAGCATGCTTGAAATGAAAATGCCTCCTGGGAGTTAGAGGATTTATGGTAATACCGGTTTCACTATATTGTCTGTTTGAATGCTGTATGATGAACCTTAATTACCATTATTTTTAAAGTGTGTTATTTTACAAACCATAAGGAACTGTCATTTCGAAATACAAAGTAAACAAATAATCAACTGACCCATGTTAATGGATTCTCTAGTTTGAAGGGTTCATGTAAAATTTTAGGCATCTAATCAGCTGGTTTATGGTGTGGAACCACTTTTTCATGAGCGGGTGTCTTAAAAGTTTTCTAATTTTCCACATGCCCGTGACAACACCACCTTTAACCTACTCACTTCAGGCCTCTCACCATCTGGTGGAAAAGTTTACGCTGGCAGCAACAAAACAAATAATGTGTATTAACCTATTTATGGTTCTTCATCTTTCCTAAGGTATCCTAACTGCAAAACCTTTAAATCAGAGCAACCTCAATGTCCTTTGAGTGTCAGCAGTGTGGCAAGTGTTTTAACAATGCAGGGCACTTTAAGGCTCATAAAAGATTCCACACTGGGGAAAAGCCATATGAATGTAAACAGTGTGGCAAGTGTTTTAGCCGATCAGGAGCCCTAACGATACATGAAAGAGTTCACACTGGGGAAAAGCCTTATGAATGTAAACAATGTGGCAAGTGTTTAAGTGTAGCAGGAAACCTAAGGAAACATGAAAGAGTTCACACTGGGGAAAAGCCTTATGAATGTAAACAGTGTGGCAAGTGTTTTAATGTAGTAGGAAACCTAAGGACTCATGAAAGAGTTCACACTGCGGAAAAGCCTTATGAATGTAAACAGTGTGGCAAGTGTTTTAGTCTGGTAGGACACCTAAAGTGTCATGAAAGAGTTCACACTGGGGAAAAGCCATATGAATGTAAACAGTGTGGCAAGTGTTTTAGTGAAGCAGGACACCTAAGGACTCATGAAAGAGTTCACACTGGGGGAAAGCCTTATGAATGTAAACAGTGTGGCAAGTGTTTCAGCCAAGCAGGGAGCCTAAGGACTCATGAAAGAGTTCACACAGGGGAAAAGCCATATGCATGTAAACAGTGTGGAAAGTGTTTTGGCCGAGCAGGACACCTAACGATCCATGAAAGAGTTCAAACTGGAGAAAAGCCTTATGAATGTAAGCAGTGTGGGAAGTGTTTCAGCCAAGCAGGACTCCTAAGGAGGCATGAAAGAGTTCACACTGGGGAAAAGCCATTTGAATGTAAACAGTGTGGAAAGTGTTTTAGCTTAGCAGCACACCTGAGGACTCATGAAAGAGTTCACACTGGGGAAAAGCCATATGAATGTAAACAGTGTGGTAAGTGCTTCAGCACATCAGGCAGTCTAAGGATTCATGAAAGATTCCACACTCGTGAAAAACCTTATGAATGTAAACAGTGTGGCAAGTGTTTTAGTCAAGCAAAACGCCTAAGGACTCATGAAAGAGTTCACACTGGGGAAAAGCCATATGAATGTAAACAGTGTGGTAAGCGCTTCAGCACATCAGGCAGTCTAAGGACTCATGAAAGAGTTCACACTGGGGAAAAGCCTTATGAATGTAAACAGTGTGGCAAGTGTTTCAGCCGAGCAGGAAGCCTAAGCACTCATGAAAGAGTTCACACTGGGGAAAAGCCTTATGAATGTAAACAGTGTGGCAAGTGTTTTAACCAAGCAGGAAACCTGAGGAGTCATGAAAGATTCCACACTCAGGAAAGGTCACTTAAATTTTCCCAGAAAAACAAATGTCTGTCCAAACGATTGGAATCCTGTAAACGGAAGAGAGCAGGAAGTGAAAACGTTGATGTGAGGGTCACAGGCTTTACAGAGAACCAGCAGACGCAGAGAGAAACCGGAAACAATGGTGTAACCGATGCACGATCGGTCATTATTGAGAAACACAGCTGTTGGATTTGTCAAAAGGAGATGAGTAGTGAGGCTCTTCTTCTTCAACACTATGAAAATCATATGACCCATGTTTGTGATGATTATTCTTAAAGGTTTTCATCGACGTTCAGTTCATCTTCGATAGTGTACGTTTAGGTTTGTCCAGCTTCGCAAACTGCAATGGTTTTTGAAGGTAATATAGATCGTGATCGCATCGATCACCTGATTTAAACTGCATTCGGCATTTAGTCAAGCATATCATTCCGATTGCAGCGTAACTGGGCCGATAAACCAATTTATTTCTGATCATTTTACACGCCCTGTAAGCTTCGGAAGTTGATCTAGAATGTGCGAACATAGAAGTGTCCTTTATTGCACTTTGACTGAAAATAAAATAATGTTTTATGGAGTAACTGTTCGTTCTTCTAAGGGCATCTCTTACTTTAAACAAAACAGCAGATTTTATGCCGTGTAATTTTCTGATCAACTCTCCACTGTAATTAATATATCTCTTATATCTCTTAGTAGTGTATGTAACATCACTCCTTCCAGCCTGAGTGATTTTTATCTCATCTCACAACAAATCAAGTGACTTCGCTTCAGGTGTAGGAAACTACAATCGGCAACAAAATTATTGAGGCATTTTACTCAACTAGGGTAATAAGTACAGAGAAGAAAAGAATCTACCTCCCTCCCCACTCGCCTTCATTCAAAGTTGCAGTTTTTGTTGCTTTAACTGTAGGTAGCTCGAACAGCGGCACAACATTGCATGGAGGGGATGGGGGAGGGAAAGCTTTATTTCCCATTTAGAAGTCAGTAAAGCATCGGCTTTAGGGCAAGGTGTCTCAACTACGTTGTAATTTTGTCGCCAATCGTAGCTGTAGATTGTAGCAAAACACACTTACCTCCACTTAAGGAAAGGATAGGAAAAATAGAGCAGTTTATTGAATGTTGATTAATTATGCAAAAATCGTAATTGAATATGATTTATGGGCAAATGTTCCTTCTTTTCACTCTAATGAATGGATCTTTGCGCTATTGATTGCCGTTTCATGCAATTAAATACATATTTTCTCGTAATAAACAGCAAAAGGTGTAATTCTCATAAACTTTTCTTTTGATGATGCATGGATATCGTTAGGAGAAAATTATGTTGGTCACTATTGGGACTAAAAGCAAAATTTGTTGTATCCCGCTGTGCATTTTGCATATTTTGGGTTTTTGTGTTCCCTCAATCATCTTAGCGGACCTCTTAGAAAATTTATATTTACTTGCACGAGTTCAAAAGGTCATGGTTTGTCATTTGTGATTGGTGAATCTAGATCTGTTTTGTTTGTTTCCTATTACAAGGCTTGTTGCTTTGTGGTCGTCCTGTTTAGGGCAATAATCGACTAGTTAAGTTTGCTTCGCAAATTTTTATGATCTTTCTCAATCTTGTCACTTGCAAGAATAAAGCAGTTTCTGCGTCCTTCCTTCTACAAAAAATCCACTCACCATCGCGATTTCCTTCACTATTCTTGAGCAGTCGGAGTCGTTCTCAGCCAAGCTGGGCGAACACATTACATTATGATTTGCTTTAACCTCGCCTCACTAAAATGCATGATTGACGGAACAGAAAAACCCAAAATCCGTTCTAAGTTTGCAAAATGTGCAGTGCAATACAACAAATTACCCTGTAAAGGGTTAACAAAGTGTCTATGTCTATGTCTAAATGATCTTGAATAACCGCCATGAAGATTTTCAAAAACTGATATGTTTTTGCAAGCCTTTCAAGAGTTTCCACAAAACATACAGCAAAAATTAGGGAGGCGTAGATAACGCTGTATAAATGATAAAATAAACCTCTAATTGTACCATTTGTGTTCGTAGCAAGATAGAAAACACTACAAACTTGCAAAATTAAAAATAAAATACTTTTTGTCATGTGTAAATGAAATCTTTTGCTTTTCCATGCATCACGACTTTGTATCATTTTACTACATGCAATAGTGACCTAACATTTCTAATGCTGGGGAAAAGGTCTTGATTTTATCATTGACAGTTTTTCTAAGGCTATGAAATTCATTTGACTCCATTTTGAGACAAGCAACTTGAACTACAGTCTGCAGCAAGACAAGTGCTTGTTTGTTTACGTTTTATTGGTGGAAATATTTTTTTCCTATGGCTGATGACCAAACATTTTCTGTTTTTACTTCAAAAGTGCAGAATGAGAGGGGAATTTTGTTGTTAATTGAACAGAAGTTATCCTGAGAATTATGATTTTCATGCACCTGTTCAGGCTTTTTGTTTCAAATTTTGGTTGTCCATAAGTAAATTGTAGGAGCCTGTGGTGACCAGGCCGCCATTAGGCAGTAGCCTTGACACTGCCTAGTGCAAAGCAAGTAAACACATACCTTGACAAGTATAAAAACAGTTTTGATAGTTCAAAAGTTAGACTTCATACAAAAATACCGAGTCAATTTTCCAAACTTTAAGATAAACCTTTCGCTGTTCCTTTTTTTTAACTTTGCATATGCACTTGTACATGCAAGTGCTCTCGGCTTTACCATTTGTTGTTTTTGCGAATGGTTGTTTTTATTTTTCTTGAGAAATAGCCTGCAGTGCAGGCGTTTTCTTTGAACGCGCAATTTGCTTGCGAAAGCGCCATGTTGAAACTTCCCTAGGAGAGGAGGAGATGGGGCGAGTCAAAGGGAGCGGGGAGGGGGTGGCGCATCCTCGGAGACCCAGGGGCAGATAAAGGGGGCGAGGGAAGTTCTAAACGGGCGGAAAAATATATATGGAACAATGAAAAGTAAAGAACAGCGAGAAGAGCCCCTGTGGACAATGTCTTATCAGACCAGTTCCAAATGGTCGCTGCTGTTCTGGCTTCTGATTGGTGCCAGAAAACCAATCAGAAGCCAGAATGGCGGCGACCGTTTGGAAATGGTCTGGTAAGACATTGTCCCCAGGGGCTCTTCTCGCAGTTGTTTACTTTTCTTCGTTCCATATATATTTTTCCACCCGTTTGACTTTCCCTCGTCCCCACTATCTGCCCCTGGGTCTCCGAGGATGGGGGTGGCGAGAGAGAAGAGAAAACGTCTGTCCGAAAACGCTGTTAAAATGACAAACACCCCCTAATTACACACGCGTGACCGCTCTTCCAGAAATGAGTAGCCAACAATAACAAAACAACCAAACAGTCGCTCCAGTACGAAGACTCCCATTGCCTTAAGAAAAACGAGCTGGAGTTAATCATTGTTTTTATTTTGACTGAGTCGCAATGCAATTCTCTACAGCTGATGAAGGTTCAGTTTAAGCTGCAATTCCTCTCTGTAAATCGCTATCCGTGGGAGTTTAACATCCTGCAAACAATTTAAAAAACTAACGAGCTGGGCCCAGCATGATACAACATTGCAGGAAAACATCACATTTTCAGACTAGAAAGAAAATCGCTTAGTTATTCAGATCCTGAGGCACTTTAGACTAAAATAAAGAACCTAACAGCCTTATTTAGCGACAAAAAAAGCTTTACGCTTCAAAAGAGGACAAAGAAAATGCTCTTGCATCAGAGGGCAAATCATGAAGACCAGAAATTCAAAAGACACAGAAAATGAATAAGCATGTCATGACCTCTCAGTGTGAAACAAGCGATTAAATCACACTTTTACCCTTGCACCTACTGTGAGGGTTAATATTTCTACTCTCCCCAATCTTCCACTGTCATAAAATCAAAGATGGCAACTACAGCAATATTACAAACACGAACAAGGTTTCGCCCACCCAAAATACGCCTGCACTGCAGGCTGCTTGAGAAATAAATCGTGTCTCAAAATCCGTTCAAGTGGTGAATATAAAAAATGCTTGTTTTTTGAAACTGAAGACTCAATGTTTGCGTTTTAAAACTCAATTTGTTGTAGTTAATAAAAATAGGTTTAGGTACACTGGCTGTAGGGGTCTGTTCTTGAAATACAATAAAGCAAATAATATCTCTAGTACAGAAAAAAAGGGGATTGGCCCTTGAATGTTAGTTGATCCTTTACTACTGTTTACTACTATTTGTGCCCATGAGTTTGATAAATAATAAATTTAAAGATCATCGATCAAGAGATTAGTGCATTGTCTGTCGTGAGCTAGAAGTGTGACACATCAATAAAGTTACTGTCTTTTTTAATGGGCCCCTATAAATGTAGCTTCTTATTTGAGGAGCATGAAGGGCTCCCAAAAATTCTCTTAGCCACCAGCCTTGCTTTAAGGTTAGTGCAAATGTTACTGCTAGTTATAGCAGTTCTAAATTTGATTTTGGTTTGAGATAAATGCATTTCAAACTGGCAAAACCAGTGGTTCCATAGCTGACTGTGTCCCTTAATTTAATCTATATATTAAGGACAAAAATCAGTTTTTTAAAAAATTTATTATTAGTTATTCTTTTTAAGTGTGACTTGAAATCATATTCATTATTTTAGCTAATATATGCACCCCTCTTTCTTGGAAAAATGGTCACCTACAGAATAACAACAAGTATGGCCACTGGACTCTTACCAAGAGTCAACCTCGTTCCCAGGGTCTCTCATCTTCTCGCCCAAGCGAGAGAGGAGAGACCCTGGTTCTCCTCTCTCGCTTGGGTGGGAAGATGAGAGACCCTGGGAACGAGGTTGACCAAGAGTAATAGAATAAGCCAATTCCTAGAATAAACCCTGTTACTCTTTAGACCAAATAAATGAGTCATAGATGCGATAACCCTTTAAGCTTCAAAATCAACATGGAAATTCTCCACACTGGCCTCCATACAATTTTTGAAAAATTGGTTGAGAGAATTTGTTTAAAGATCAAAGCATATTTCCTTGAAGTGATCATTTTATTAATTCTCATAACCTTTCTACTTGATTATATACTGATGTTGTGTGAGGCAAAAATTGATGTTGATCACTCATGGGACTAAAAGGGATAAATAAATCGTTTGCTGTAACACTTCATGTGGACTGATCTTGTATGGAAGTTGCGATTTACTTTTGATCTTCCAATTTCATGTGCTTGAGTGTTTCCACTTTGCATTCCAGTGTTATTATGAAGAATCAATTAATCAACCCTTTTGGTGATCATTTCAAGAAATGATATTAAGAAATCCCCAAGCGCTTTACATTTTGAGAAATTTGGAAAAGTTCGAAAAATTCCATAAAATACATTTTTTAATTCGCGAAATTGCTGCAAATTTCAACAATTTTTAGGGAAGCAGTACAAGCGTGCAACAGCTCCTATTGACTTGATGTTGCACATGCAGTTACCAGTTACCCAAAGCCTTAAGACTGCATAAAAGTGTCTCGCAAAATAACTTTTGTAATACAGTTTTGGGCTTTTATTGCTTGCACCTTGATTGTGTGTTGTTTTGGTGGTGAAAATAACGCCTGACTTTAACCGCAAAAAGTCAATCCTGGTATGTCTCAAATTTAAAATAATATGATTATACTACATGAAAGAGCTGTGATTCTTTTAACTAGATCTGAAGTTTTAAATACAGCGACTCAAGCCACCGTAAGCGACAAGAACGTGAAATGTAAACAAAGCGAAAAGCGTGTAAACAAAGGAGAAAATAACACCAAAGTTATTTCTAGCCCACCAAAGCGTAAAGAAATGATGAAAATTTCGGTATCTAAATAGGTATTGCTATCTGAAAAACTAAAAAGGCGAAATTGTCTGTCGAAAAATATAAAAAGAAAAAAATATATCTTGAAAAACGAGCAACTGAGAATCGCGTCGGGTGACCATTTAATTCTGAACTCAGAAGTAAAATTGCTTCGAGATGGTCAAGTCCAAAAGGCT